GTGTGTGTGTGTGTGTGTGCATGGCATTTCCGTTCTTGTTCTGAGGCATGGCTCTGCGATTGGCACTGAGACGATTGAGCTCTAAGCCAGTGCGCAGCTCAAGGGAGGCATTCTATTTTGGCTGAAATTGGTTGGAGCCGCTGTTGTTGCTGATTCCGCTGCTGTTGCACCCGTTCTGCATCTGCAACCCCGTGGTCACCTGATGGACTTCAGTGCATATGGTTCGTAGACACGCTGACAACGGTGATGACTACCATGATGATGATGGTGATTGTTATGATGGTGATGATGACGATTATGCTGCTGATGATGATGATGTTTCTGGTGACAGCGATGTTTCGCATGAGGATTCTGCACAGCATCTGGTGGCAACAGTGGTTTTGACGACTACCACGAGAATGATGCTCACAATGATGCTGTTCTTGCTTTGGTAAAGTAAAGGCGGTAGCGACGAAGACGGTGGAGGTGTAGTCATGATAGCAGCGATCCGGGACAGTAGTGTTAACGGATTCCTTTTTATCTTTTTAAGCACGGTTGTGCGGCACCATCCTTATTGAGGAGGTGGCCCTATGCAAACCGGTTGCCTTTCACCCCAATTCGGCAAAGTGCCCAGAGTTTCCGGGCTTCGGGGTTAGGCTTTAGTTTTTTTACCCTAGCCTCCGGCCGTAAATGCAAAGCGGCTCGGTGAGATTACCTGAAGGGGGTTGGGGGCCCTCTGCGAAGCTGTTGCGCATAAATTTTCTTGGACAAAGCTGTCGCTTGCGTGTGGGTACATCGACGAGAACGGGACGCGAAGGGCCCGCTTTACGCATCATCGAGGGCTGTTGCTAGCCGCACACAGAGGTCGTCGCTCTGTCGGATGAACCTGCAAATCGCTGCGAAGACCTTCAAAGCCTGAGGGCGGCAAAGCCCAATGATAGAAGCCCAAGGGGGCAGTCTTGAGCCCTTATGCCCTTGTCACGCCTGCTGATAGTTGGCAGCCAAGCGGCCTGCTCTACAATACCTATATTTGCCATGGGTGCTAATGACGATGGTGACGATGGTGCTGGTCTTGATAATTAGGCGTTAGTCGGTAGCCTGGTTGTCAGGGCAAGCTATCCTTACAGCCTTACAGGTTCGGTTACGCTTGCTTTGCTGGTCGGGAAACGGATTCTGCAAGATCAATGCGTGTTTGGCATGGGCATGCCCAAGTTGAGCGCTTGTTCAGGTGCCTCTGGGTCTGGCAAGCGATCAAGTGGTGTCTATCCGGGAGTCTGCCAAAAGCTTCTTTAACGAGGCAGGTGCAAACTGCTTGATCTCTCATCGAACTTGTTCATTGCCCAAATGCTCAGCTTTTGTTCTGCATGCATCAGCAATTCGGGCTCAAATCTAGCAGCTTTTGCCTTCAGCTTGGAAGTAACCAGGACATGACTGCTTTGCCTTCGCTGCAGTATCCAGTAGGCAGTTTCAGACGTGTAGCTTTGGCAGGATGAAGTTCTTGAAGGCAGTCGCGGTTCTGGGCTTCGGCGTTGCAGCAGCTCAGGATGATGCATGCCATTCATCGCACAAGGCCAGGTGTGTTGTGACATGTATTTCGCAAGCAGGGTTGCTTCCGAAGCCGTGTGTGAGGCCAAGGCAGACTGCGATGCTGATGCCAAGTGCACGTGGTGCGAGGTGGTGCTGACAGCACTTTCACTATTTGGTGTCATGTGGCAAATCTTCCGTTTCACCGGGTTTTGCTTCATCGCACAACAGGCATCGGCAGTTCCGAGTGCATGCTACACCAAGGAGAATGCTTGGCACCCAGTTCTACTTTTTAGTCAGGATGGGGCTTCTGGCACAGTCAAGGCCGCAAAGCTTCCCCCGGCTGTCTTCACTTGCGCCACCCATGGACGCCGTCATCCCTCCGAGTTGCTTCCACGTGCCGAGGCAGGACATCCGGTGACTTGCAAAGGCTTGTTCCGGCTCTGTGACGGAGGTGGAGAAGCTGGGGGTTGCGTGGTGTGGCAACGCGACGCATCGAAGCTATGAGCCAAGGTAAAGAAGTTTCTAGGTTAGAAATGCCACGGTGGCCGCCGCGGCTGAGGCTCCCACGAGCTGCTTGACGCAGCCGAGTACCCCTCGGATTTCAGCTGGTGCAACAAAGATGGCAAGCCTTGGCCCGAGAAATGCCGCACACTGCCTAGCAGCACATGCAGTGACCTCCAGGAGCTACTGCACTATGTCTCGGAATCAGCATATTCCGCAGGACCGACTGTGCACAAGTAGTGAAATTGAAAGAATTTTGTGCCCTTTGGCGAGTACTGTGGCTCCTGCTGGGCACATGGAGCAATCTCGGCTCTTGGTGACCGCATCAAAATCGCGCGCAACGCGCAAGGAATTGACATCAACCTCGCCGCAGCTCAGTTGCATCACAGGGTGCAAGTCTCTGGAATCGTTCCTGGAATTCCGGTCCCAGTGTGTGAAGATTGGTACCCTGAGCAACTACACTTACAGAAGGTAGAAGTAAAGCTAGAGAACAAGTGTCCCGAAAGCGTTTAGCGGCTCAGCGTAGCGAGGCAAACCCAAACATCATCCATCCATCCATCCATCCATCCATCCATCCATCCATCCATCCTGCCATCCGCACAGCTGCTCGGCTAGACACCCTTCCTTTAATTTTCCATAAAACGGATTCAGATCCATCCAAATCCTCTTACTTATAAGCTTCTGCATAAACCCTTCTAGAAGTCCTCCCACGAACTACCAACTTCTCTACCAGAAGCATGGCCAACTTGCTGCCACGAAGTACTGGCGACATTCACAGACACGATGTCAGTGACGCGCCTCTATCCTGATTGCAAGATTTCTGTGCCGAAATGGCGCTCGGAGATGCTGGTGTCACCGGGAGAGTTGTCATTTCGAGACAAGCGTGAGGCCAATGTACAGGAATATACATTGAATCGCACTAACCTGACGATGTGGACACGCCGCCGTCATCGAAATAGTTGTTGGAATTTGCAACAGATATCAACGGATCACGCTTCGGCTGTGCCCCACGCAGTGCCATATTCGCCTGACCACACACGCCACATCAGGAGAGGGCTGCCCAATCTGAGGACAAACAGATCCTTTTGGCACCACATGCGCAACGCCATTTTGGGATGTACTGCGACTTCCGCTAGCCCGGCCCCGTGCGTTAAGCGGCATCAGTTGGCAGCAGGAGATAAGAGGCCATCTCATGAAAACGCAGGGGCCAACCGACCTCAAGAAACCCCATGCCATGCAACCTCACGGCACGCAACCTTACGACCGCCCAAGACACAACTTCACCTGATTCACATCAACATCTTCATCACATCCTGCCGTCCAGTGCATCTCCACGGAAAATCCCTTCGCCATGCTTTCGGTAACAAAGGGAACCGATATCGAATCCGAGTTACGATCCGTGTTGTTTTGAAAAAATGTTATGTCCTGGGTTCAATGTCGTTCATCCTCGTTCCTAGAAAGATCCGAATCTGATTGCAGGTTCAGCACTTGCTGAATTGCGGCGGTGTGGGAACCTGCAAGGGGGGCAGTGTCGACGGCCCGTACCAATGGCTCATGGAAATCTCCAAGAAGGGCACTGGAATCAGCTGCCCGGCCTTTTCGTGTGAATCTCAGAGTTCCTCAAAGGGCAGTCCTGGAAGGCTACGAGACAGCGAACCCTTACGTCGCTTGCAGCTCTGACTCCGACGAGGGCTTCTGCAAGCATGTCGACACCTCCTGCAAGGCCGGCTCTCAGGAAGCCCTGGATGTCAGCACTTCTGCGTCCGGTCTAGGCGCTCAATGTGGCCCGCACCTGCGGCAGCTTCTCGCAGGAGGGAGGGCCATGTGCCTTGGCCATGAAAGTTGCTCTGCTTCGCTGTGCGTTCGGCCTAGCTGCTGAGCCGCTCATGCAGCTCACGAGATTGCGAGGCACCGGCCTTGGTGAGTTTCCCAACGCGACGATTTCAGACTATGGCTCCATCTCTGGCCAAAGCCTGAGATCATTTAAGATCGAGATAGCCGCGACGATCGTGGAAACGAAGGCGCTGATGCCATGATGAAGGAGATCTTTCACCGTGGTCCAATCTCATGTGGTGTCGATGCCAATCCCCTGCTGAACTACGAGTCTGGCATCTTGGCACACACATTGATGTATCGTGCATGTGGTGCAACGCAGCAGACGTGGCGTTGCACCTTTTGTTTACGGTAATTCCGAATGCCAGTGGCAGTCTCGCAGGCATTATCAAGACGAAGGGTGAGGGTGTCGATCATGTGGTGTCTGTGGTTGGCTGGGGAACCGATTCGGAGGCTGCGAGAGAGCATCTGCTTCGTGCTGTCCAGCCTTGGAAATATGTTGCGGTTAATCATGTCGCCCCTGAGGATGGCATGTACTGGATCGTCAGGACACTGTCTTGCGGTCTTGCTGCTCTGGTGTGTGGAGCGCTTATGTTCGAAATGAATCGAAGCGCGCCTCACTACTTTGATGTGATAGGGATCTAATCCCTCCCCCGGCTGTTTCCTTGAGTAGCGTGAGTGCCTTTGCTTGATGTTCTGACCGTGTGCTCTGCCAGGAACTCTTGGGGAGAATATTGGGGAGAAATGGGCTATTTCAGGCGTGGCTTGCAAACGAGGTTTCTGCGACTCTTGCTGCAAGTGATGTCTGAATCAGTGCATGTCAAGGCTTCGCAGCCCTCAGGAGTGCCCTGTATTGATAATCTGTCGTGGCATGCAGCTTGCAGGGTGGCAAAAGGTGCGCTGCTCCTCGAGGAGCTGTTTGCCGTGGCAGTTCTGCAGTTTCAGTCATCTGTGTTTCCTTTGGGAATTTGCCGGCATTTACCACTTGTCGGTCCTCTTGCAATCGCTCACTCGCTTGCTCGCTCGTGTGTTCATGTGTTCTTTAGTGCGGCCCCGAAAGTGCGAGCACGTGTTTTGAGGGTGCCTCCAAGCATCCTCTGCAAGCCGAATCAATCGTGCGGACAGTTGAGTATTAGCAAGGGCACTGGCTTAGTACACGCTGAACACCTGTTCCGTATCCAGTCTCCGGGATCCAAGATATGGAATCCGAAGAATTGGAGATCGCTGTGTACTTTACAAACGGTACGGTGGACCAAGTTTGAGACAAGACAGCACAAACACACAGCAAAGTTGTGCAACATGAATCAATGCTGGGACGGGATTCTTGAGCATATGCCTGAAACTGCATCTTTAGATGTGAGAATGACCTGAGTGAACTCATGCCTGCACAAAAATCACTAACATCATTGTGGATGCAATATCTGACAATAACGTGAAAACGGTGTTGGCCATCAATTTGCAGTCAGTATCTTCGTGCATGGCTCATGCAAGGATTTGGTCACAGCTCTAACATCTCCTGGCCAGGCACAAGCAAACCACAGACAAAAACACGATGAAACAAGTACCGGCCGAACTGTGCTGGTCATCGCTCTTGCTTGTCTTTTGTGCTGCGGCAGAGGATCCTTCTCTGTGGCGGTTTGCTCTGGATTCTGTGAATTGTGAAGTGCTCCTCGCACCACGAGGATGCTCTGTCAAGAAGTACCGCCCTTTCGATTCTTACTTCTGTGGTTTGCTTGACTTGTTCGGTTGCAGCCAGCCGAAGACCAGCTTGGCGAGAGGCATCCTATGGCGTGCTTCGACTCGTATGCCCCCGGCTGCCCTTTCGGCTCTGAGGTGACTGTTTTGGTTCTGTACATTTGCGCATACTCCCGAAGGCACACATGCGCTTCTTTTGCGACACTGTCTGTTTGCTTATAAAAGTGAACAAACAAATACACACAAAAGCACAGAAAACACACATATATATATATGTAGATATATACAAATATATATATATATATAGATAGATAGATATATATATATATCTATATAGATATTGATTTGCCACGGACTTGTGTACACGTACACCTTGGTTGCTTGTTACGTCTCATGCCAACTTTGTCTCACTCGCAACTTGACTGCTCAAGATGTGCCTCGTGCAACGTCCAGCAAAAGGCCGCTAGTGCGTAGGGTCGCTCTAGCTTTGATTGGACCTCAAGTTTGCACTGCTTCTGCCACTGCCTTGCTTGCTGGGTATACGATTGGTTGCGCCTTGCTTTGTGACCGAGAGTGAAGTGGATTCCTCTGCTTTGCACAGGTTATCAGCCGCAGGACCTCTAGCTTCCGATTGTGTTCTTCACTAGTGACGCCGGTCGCTCGAAACGACGCGCAGCCCGATGATAGTGCTCTCGCAGCTCGCCTCGCCTCGCCTGCCATGCCTGCCAGCCATGCCGCTGCCACGCCTTTGCATGCCACGCCTGCCGAGGTCGATCGCCGCCCTTGCCTTGCGCTGCCGCGATAACAGCCAACGCGCACCATTCGCAGCCTCCTGCTTTTGCTGCCGATCTCCGATTGAGGCCCCGGCATCCTTTCACCCGCCGTGTGCTGCCTTATGCGGGCAGCCGTCGGCTCAGGATGGGTTCGTACCCTCCTGTGGCTCCCTACGGTGGCTCCGGTGCGCCGATTATACAGCACCGAGCCACAGCAACCCAGCCCCGGCCACTCATGAGTGAAGATCCCTCGATTGGGGACGCACTCGGCCCTGACGCCGCCCAGCGCTTCGTCGTCGATATTCAGGCGATTGCGCAGGGCATGCTGGGACAAGTGCGGATCTCGATGTTCTGAGAGAAGGAGTGTCTGATCTCGCGGAAAACTTCGACAACAGAATTGAAGATCTCCGGAGGTCGCCATGAACTCTCTCAGACCGCGCATCGACGACCATGAAACGCTTCATGACACGTTTGAACATGTGAAAAGCAAACTCAATGATCGTCTGGTCTCATCGAACTCGATGACAGGACGTTCAACCTTAACCAAGATCGAGCTGAATCGATATGTGTGAAACTTCATCGTGTTATAAGCGACATCCAACGATACCCAGGCAGTCTTCCGCACCTCTCCATCGGTATTATGTCGAACGGGGAAGCACGGATTGGTGCTGTTGAACAAAAAGCGAGCTCTCGCATCGAAGCGCTTCGTTCGAGATGAGTCGGTCCCTTCACGATCACAAGAAGCGGACTGACGATCTCGTCGATGATCTCGCTACAAGAGTTGCTCATTTGGAAGCCTGCTTCTCGCATCGCCGTGTGAGCCATCAACTCCTTCACGTGCGGATGGGACTCAATTTTTCGATATCAGTGGCCTTCCTCTTGCCCCAGATTTCTCTTCCATGGAGGCGCGTCAGCGATTCCGCAATCTTCACTTTTTCTGGGTGCCACGCAGCCCCAGTCGAGAAGGCATCGACTGCCCAGTCTCAGGCGAGTTGCCTGACGGCAGACGATATCTACCGGAGAGCTCGATTGTTCGTCGATGATCGTCCGAAGCCTGAGCCGAAATTCTTTCATCCACCTGGCCAGGGTCCACTATTTCATCAGGGCGAGCGTTCGCTTCGAACATTGGCCGCCCATGCTCCAACTGCAACATCCGCTGTAAGATCGATGTTTGGTCAGTCTGCAGGTGCATCGGGCACCCAGGCCGCTGCTCCAACGAGCATTCCTCCTACGATTCCTGAGGCGTGCATTCCTGGGCGCGGCGCTGGTCCGACAGCACAGTGTGATGGTGGAGCCTTTGAAAGGTTGTTCGCTCCTGATCCTCGTCCGATCCCGACATTCCCGTGCGTGTCAGATCTTACGACTCCCGAACTGTTCCGACAGGGGTCAGGCCCTCCCGATGGTATGATGCGGTGTGCTCGAAAAGCATAAAATTCCGCCTCGCACCTGTTCCTTGGCCCAGGTCTCCACGACAGCCGGTGGCTGCCTTTCTTTCTGCATCTTTCCTACAGCTTTCCAACCAATCTGTCTCAAATCTTTCTCGGACTTGTCACAGCGGCGGCCACCGAAGGAAAACACTTGCTTTTCGAACTTCTTGCCTTCGAACCTCAGAAGGAACCGGACCCCGATTTTGTAGTACATGCAAGTCCAGCTGGCATCCTCGGGCACCGGGACCTCGGGGCTATACTGATATCCTGGCTGCTCATCACCCCCGCAGGGTGCAGCAGCATCAGCAGCAGCTTCTGCAGCATCATGATCAACAGATGGAGCCACTTCTGCAGCAGCTGGTTTTTCACTACTTCAGCCTTGCTCTTGGCCTTGCTGTTTGGCTTCTTAGGCTTGGGCTTCAGGCTGCATGCAAGACCAGGTTGGGAACCTCTGTCTCCAAGGGAGGCTCTCCATCGAACTCAGCCATCAGGAATCCATTCGGGCCTTCCTTCATCTTGGCCAAAATCTTCTTGCCTCCGACCGATCGCTCCATCGCGAGCTGGCTGCTATCCCAGAACTGCAACGGTTTCGGAGCAGCTTTGGCGGGCCCACCCTCGGGACTTTTGGCACCCTCGCCGACATCTTCGATCTCCCCCCAAAACCTCTCGACTATCTCAGCATCCACATCGATCCTGGGAAGAAGATCCCGAGCTTCATCTTTGGAGCTATAGGGGTTCGAGGTGGCGGGGAGGCCATACAAGTTTCGATCCTCTTCGATGCTCAAAGCTTTGCTGCTGGAGCTGTCTGTGTGGTCATGCTTGGCCTGCTTAACATCCACCGGCTTGCTTTTTTTTTTGCATCGCTTTCGCTTCATCGTGCTGGCATCAGATGCCATGGACGGGACAGGCTTCGAGGCTCGTGTTGGCTTAGGCTTAGCTGTCTGGCCAGCATTAAAGCAGTTCTTGTTGTTTTGCTGGATGATCCTTCGAACTGGAGGAGGCAATCTCGAACCAGTGCTTACCTGAAGCCTCTTGTTGTAGCAGTAGCTGACAGCTTTCGACAATCTCTCGGCCCATGTCTCAGCTTCTGACCCTGTGACCTGCTGCCCGGTCGAAGTGTCCTTAGGAGGATATCGGCTATGAGCTCCTCATAGGCCGCAACGGTCATCTGAGGCTCATGGTTTAGATACTTCTTGTCCAGACCTTTGGGTAAATGGGCCCGCAGTTCCTTCACCAAGTCTTCCGGCTTCGCCGAGTTCGACCGCCTGGTCGACGTGCTAGGATCTATATAGATCCGTGGGCAAGCCAAAATAGCTGTCAATACTTCATGCATGCCACAAAATGCTCGTGCAGACACCGTGCTTTTAAAGCTTCAGCAAGAGCTACCTGCCTATCTATATACTCTATATATATATATATCTATCTATATATATATATAAGAGTGTAGCTCCTCACAGGAGCTACACTTATAAACATGTTTGAATATAGAATATGTAGCGCCTCATAGGAGCTTCGAAAACACAAGATCGAACGATGCTGGAGATCAAGTGGCATAAACATACCTTAAATCTAAAAGCAAAAAGCCACCTTCATTAAGCTATGTTTCTTGTTTCTAATTACGCAATACTTGTTTAAATCTTCCTGCACCTTGCTTAACTAAGGTGAAATATTGCTTATTTTAAACAATGTTCCTTTACGTTAAGCAGTATACTGCTTAATCGAGCAATAAACGCTTAGTTAAGCCATATTCAAATTAAGCTCGAATTGCTTAATCAAGCATGTGTTTCTTATTCTTAATTAAGCAGTATCGAGCTCTCTGGGAGTGTCATTCGGGGATACTGAAACCGGCAAAATTGCCTCGTCCTTTCCTGGCCTTGTCTTCGGGCCTGTCATTCGCGACCGGAGTCTGAATTATTCGTGGCCGGAAGATATCCGTTGCTTGAATAGTTCGCGCGAACGACGGCGTGCCCATATGAATTGCTTTGGAGGGAGCCAGTTTCGCTTGACCACTGCTGCTACTTAAGTCGATCAAGAAAAGAGGATACGGAGGCTCATGTTTGACTCCGGCTGCGGGTGTTGACCTTATTGGTCTTGGAGATCTCTGGCACAATGAAAGAGAGATGACTCTTCAGAACGCCAGGCTCAGTCTGAGGACCGCCAAGACCATCACTCGAGGCCTCGCTCATATGCGTGTATCTGGCGTCGAGGAGTTGATTGAGGCATATGTGCTTGACAGTACCCCAAGTTTGCTTTCACTTGGAAAACGATGTATGGAGCCAGGGTATCGGTTCATTTGGGAACCCCTCACACATCCGAGGTTTGACGATCCAAAAGGGAATAGGATTATCGCCGGAGTGATTAACAACATTCCTTACCTCGTGCCTAGTGAAACGGAAGTCGTCGCAGGGCGACATGATTTACCTCGCATCTACCCGGCACTCCCTGCACCGATTATATTGTGCATGCCAAGGTTGTT